TGACGCCGGCAAATAAATATCAAAGAACAGATCATTTATTTAAAAACTACAAAAAAGAGACTACAACGGCACAGGAGAAGATGGCATTCTTTCAATCTCCACAAGGACTTGTACCATGGCAGAACAACTGTTTGTCGTGGACAACAAAGTGATGTAATGCTACGTTTTATAATAAATGATAAGACTTGTTCTTTGCTTTGTTTTATTTTAAATAAGGTGTAACATTAAAATATATTAAAGTGCAAAACACACACACAAAACTCAAATACATACGGAGGGAGAGGTACTAGCAGACCAAGCACAGCGCTTGTGGTCTGCGTAGATTTGACGTGCTGTGATATTTTTGGAGAGGTGTACATCGTAGTTTCGACGCAGAAGTATAAATCAGCCTTAAAAGTAACTGAAATAACTAAGGCTGAGTATTAAAGGAACACCCCACTATTTTTAAAATAGGCTCATTTTCAAACTCCCCTAGAGTTAAACAGTTTCTATATTTTTCCTATTTAAAACTTGACTCTTCTGTAGTTACATCGTGTACTAAGACCGACGGAAAATTAAAAGTTGCGATTTTCTAGGCCGATATGGCTAGGAACTATACTCTCATTCCGGCGTAATAATCAAGGAACTTTGCTGCCGTACCATGGGTGCAGCAGGCGCAATGATATTGCGCAGCATCTGAAAATAGTCCCCAGCTAGGTAATAGGAAAAATATCTAAACTCTTTGGTTTATCTTTGGTTAAATATCTCAACTCTCATTTTTGAGCGAGATGCTAACGGTCTAATCAGATTCAATGATCTATGCTAAGCTAAGCTAAAAGTGCTACCGCCAGACCCGGAGATCGGCTGAATGGATTCGAAAACGGTAAAACTCAACTGTTTAACTCTAGGGGAGTTGGAAAATGAGCCTATTTTCAAAAATAGTGGCGTGTCCCTTTAATACATATTTCCTGATTTGATTCCAATTCAATCCTTATTTGATTAATTTGAGTATATTTCATTTATAATGTCCAATTTACTTCTCAGCTAATGCTGCAAATTAGGGGTGGGCGATAAGACTAAAATCTTATTTCATGGTATGAGAAATTTTATTTCATGATAACGATATATATCTCGATATAGCTATTTTTTTTATTTAATTTTTATTATAAAAAGAAAAAGCAGCAAATTACAAACACAATAGAACAAATAAATAAACTTAAAAATAAAGTGTATGAATAAAACACTGCATAGGTTTCACTGTATCAATGGTAATTCTGACTTTGCTATGACAATCTGGTGCTTCTGAATCAGCTACTGTTTTGTTATTAGTTTAAGTATTTGCTATTGACTGTTCAAATGCAGAGTTTTGCGCATCGTGTGTGTGTGAGAGAGACAGCGTCACATCACCGTAGAGTCAGCTGTCTTAACCGCGCTTGTGTACTGCATCATTACTGTGTCTGTTCCCCTTTCGGGCTTGAACTGATGGTAAAACTAATTACATTATTTACTGTCTTTACACTTATTTTGAAAGATGACGCTCGCGATTATGGTAAGGGGCGTTACATTTCCGACGAGTGCTTGCGGTGTTCGGCCAATCACAATGCACTGGGTCAGCTGGCCAATCAGAGCAGACTGCGCTTGTCGGAAGGAGGGACTTTGTAGAAAACTAAGCGTTTGAGAGAGGCGGGGCATAGAGGACCTACAATAATGTACAGTATTTGAAAAATAATGTGTTTTTTGAACATTAAAGCATGTCAACATATTCTGTTTCACCAAATACACAACATAATGATCTTTAAAAAAGCATCATATGACCCCTTTAAGCTAACAGACGCCTGCATTGTTGATTCTGAAGGCCTCGAGGCAGATTTCTTTGACCCTGGCAACACGATTGCTAAAATATGATTGGATAAAAGCTCTAATATAAACACACAGCTGGAAGCAGTGCAACGAAGAGAAAAGCTATTAAATGAAGAGAATAGACTACTGGAAATAATTTAATACACATGCTAAGTGCACCTTTAACAACTCTATCAAGTGCATGATCCCACCCTTTATTTTCTAATTTCTCACTCAAAGGTGTATGTAACTTTTAGTGCTGTCAAACGATTAATCTCGATTAATCGCATCCAAAATAAAAGTTTTTATTTACATAAAATACGTGTATGTACTGTGTATATTTATTATGTATATATAAATACACACATGCATGTGTATATTTTAGAAAAATATGTTTTGTATATTTGATTTATTTATATATAATATAAATATAGACATGTAAATACATGTAAATAGTTTCGAAATATGTACTGTATGTGTGTGTATTTATGTACATAATAAATATACACAATACACATTATGAAAACAAAATTTTTATTTTGTAGGCGATTTGTATTTGTAGGCGATCAAACGATAAATCGCGAATATTATGCTCTTTTACAAAGTCTTGACTTTGTTTTGGGGGTGTACTAGAACAGGCTCTCATACTAGATTGTTCGAAAAACACATTATTTTTCACATTATTTTACATTATTACAACACCTCTCTCCCCAGTCTGGCATGAACGGCTTGAATAGTTCCTGTATCAAATGAAGGCCCACCTTCTGAAATACGAAATGTGTTGTGATTGGTTTGCTGGGCCAGTGTGTGGTGATTGGTTAGCTGGGCCAGTGTGTGTTGTGATTGGCAGCACTCGGCACCTGGTCGGGAAATGTCGTGGCTCTTACCATAGCCGCCTGCGAGCTTCAGTGTAAATATTGCGTCAAAATCAAATCAGTTTGAGCGCGATTTAAACCCGGATGATTGTAACCACTCTAAGTTCTGTCTGCCTTGGGAAAGCTAGCGTGTCTCTGACATAGTGATAACACTCGTTGCCTTCTCTAGTGTAGCTCAACCAGGTCTCGTCCCATTCGTCGATATTTGTGATATCACAAATCCCGGAAAATATGCGTTGTAGTCCAAACGAGTCGTTCGTTGTAGTTTTTGAAAAGTGATTTGTGCTTTGTAACTTTGCAGATCTTTTTTATGCTCTAACAGCAACATTACTTACTAACTAAAGTTGAAAAAAGTGAAAAAGCATAATAGGACCCCTTTAAGTAGTACTATGATATGCAGATATATTGGCATACATCAGAATACACAATATAGCAAAATTTCTAATGATCGACACTTTATTGCACGGTAACAATATATACCATCATACGGCCCAACCCTACTGAAAATTATCTAGGGTGATGTTTTCAACGTATTTAATTTGTCTTTTTGAAATATTAATTAAAATAATTAACCAAATAATTGATTTAAAAAATACATTTTATGGGGGAAATTAGGCTACACTGGATGCACTTGGTTTTTGATTCACTAATAAGATTTGTTCGTAAGAATCATTTGTTTGTGAATCTGACTACACTGGTAGTGTTATGTATTTTTGCATGCAGCCTTTAAGGACAACTCAATATAAGGTCATTTCTGGTGGCACCAATAGCCTCATGGTCAGCGCGCCGACATATAGCGCCTTTGTACTTTTGGCGTCCTGGCTTGCGGACCTTTCCTGATCCCCCCCCTCCCCTCTCCCACTTCATTTCCTGTCTACAATACTGTCCTATGCTAATAAAAGGCAAAAACACAAAAATAAATGATTAAATGTATAAATTCTTGACATCATTTTGTGATGCATGCCCTTTTTACTGCATCTCTATCAATACAGATCGCAAACTCACATTCACAGGCTGGATAAAATGTTATTTATTTGTCGGACTAGTGGCACTGACGGTTAAGCAGGATGCGATGACACCTGCCAGGGGCTCGGTGCAGTACAAATACATTTTCATGCAGCCACTGAATATAGACATAGACCACAAGTTTCATCGTCGGATTTTAAGAATCAATATCAGGTTAATTTAAATTAAGATCTGTATTTTGTACCCAGTTTTTCAATTAAAACTGATATTGTTAATCACATGTATTAAAATATGTTGTAGTTTGTCAAATGTACTAGAGCTGAATACTGAAATGTGCTCAAAATGTTTATCCAGACAGTCTTAGCTGAAAATCGCAATGCTTGGTAAATGAATGCTGACACTATAGATTCCATGCATTCCATGCAGAGGTTAACTGTTGTTAAATAGGTTTCTTCAAAGAAGTGGGTTACACATTATGCGAAACTATCATTTGACACCTTTGTGGTAAATTTGTTTTTTCCTCTTCCAGGAAGAACAGATAACATCTTTGAAGGACATTAGAAGGTTACTAGGCACATTTGTTTTTTTCTCTTATTTGTATAGAATTGCACATTTTAGAGCTCCAAGTACATGGTCAACTATATTATTATGGACCACATGATCTGTCATGTTGTTGAGCCCTGAAAAATACGACAAAACCTCAGTTAAAAAGCAGAACATTCAATGTGAAGTACAGCTATTTTTACATTCACATTCTTTTTATAATGTGAGCCACCTGTATTCATGGGCAAATTAAGTATGAACATATTACAGTGATAGTGTTTATAGGGAGTATTGCATTGTTGAGAGGAGCCTTTATGGCTGGAATCAAGCTTGGAGCTGAAAATCTGGCAATTTTTAAACGGTAAATATTTCCCCCGGCTTTTTTCTCCTTGGCTTGAAGGTTTGTGCCAGGTTCCTCAGTGCAAGCAGGGATCAGGTTACAGTCCTTCAGGTCTCACATGCATGCACAGCACACATTCTCACCTTCATGTTACACATGTAAAACATTTTTAGGTTATTGCCTAAGTTTGGGATGGAGTTTTTGTGCATCTAGCATCAGTAAATTTTAATGCGTCAAATTAACACTGAGGCGATAAACAGTTTGCTGTTAAAATACTCTTGTAAATGAAAGGCCCCTGGGAAGATGTTGATATAGTACATAGTTGTCTGTATTGTTTTTGGCTGTGGTGTTGGCTATGATATCATTGTTTGTTGGCTCAGATTACATTTGTTTAGATATGGAGGTAAGGTACAGCTAACAACAGTCAGTTGTAATGATGTGTCCACTTTGATTTTTAGGCCATTAATGGGTGACACTAGAGGACAGTGTGTGTGAGGACCTTCAAACCTGAACTCTCATCAAGAGCACACACAATCATACCGCCAAAATGAGTAAGTCCTCATGTATTTTCCCTTCATATATCAAGTGTCTTCAACATGTCTTCAGTTGTTGTTTGATCTCAAACAAATGGAAGCCCTTTTCCACCATTGAATAAAAAAAGAAAAGAAAAGAAAAGGTAACTGTGACTTTTTATGGCACAATTCTGACTTTTTCTCACAACTGTGAGTTTGCATCTCGCGATTCCAACTTTTTTCTCAGAATTGTGATACAAACTCACAATTCTGACTTTTTCTCAGAATTGTGACACATTAACTCACTATTGTGAGTTATAAAGTCAGAATTGTGAGTTAAGTCAGAAGTTTGAGATGTAAACTTGCAATTCTAAGAAAACATCTTTTTTCCTCTCCGAACTCCAAACTCCCAATTGCGAGTTTATATCTCAATTCTGAGAAAAAAAGTCAGAATTGGGAGATATAAACATGCAATTGTGAGAAAAAAAGTGAAAATTGCGAGTTTATATCCCGCAACTCTGACTTTTTTCTCGCAATTCTGATTTTATAACTCGCAACTGCAAGTTTATATCACGCAATTCTGACTTTTTTCCCGTTTATCTCGCATTTACCTTTTTACAATTTTTAATTAGGGGTGGAAACGGGCATCCATGCAAAGTTTGTTTTTATAAAAAAAAAAAAGAAAAATCAAAAATATACAGTATTAGGTTCATTTCAACAAAAGCTAAAGTTAAAAAGCTCAAGCTTAGCTAGATTCAAATCTGTGAGGTCAGTAAAATATTGTAATGTTTTTGAAAGAAGTCTCACCACGTCTGCGTTTATGTGATCAAAAATACAATACAAATAAACATCGTAAAATTATCATTTCAAATAATTTTCTGTTTTAATATTTAAAATTACCAAGGAAAAAGAGTGACTAAGAAATGGCAGACAAGCTGCTGTTGAGCTGGAAGCAACTTTGAGGCCTGGAATTAAAAGTATGCTTGGAGATATTTTTTTAGAGAGAAGAGAGTGAGACATGTAGACAAACAGTGGCTTATGTTCTCACTGGTCACATGAACGCACAGATATTCAACAGTTGAGTGGTTAAGTCTGTTGCTTGGGTTGATCTGCCATGTTCCCAGTATTGGTGGGTAGACGAGGCTTCTCTGTTTCTTTCTCTCTCTCTGGAGATGTGTGAAGTTTGTCCAAACAACACACTGCGAATATTTTCCCTCCGTGAGTGAGCTCAGCCAAGACACATCTCGTTCTTACATCAAACATGAGAACAGAGTTCTCGAAAAACACGGTCATCTCCCTCTCACGACTTTCACTGCGTTGACGCAGGTCTAGTTGTCTGACTGTGAGTGTGTTTATTCATGAAAGAGATCAGAACAACCTCTCAGCTCCTCTGCACCTGTGCTGTAACTGTATAGCAAGTTTATAGTTTCTGCTACATAATCTCCGTTTAGTTTAAAATGAGGTAATAAGCCACTCAAGGACATTCATTACAATGTTTAACCACAATTAAGGTTTGGCAACAAAGAGGGTGCACAAGTATTGTTAAAATTAATACATTAATTAACTAAGTTGTTTAGAATAAAAGTATCATTTGAATTAATACATATAAATGATTACATTTTAATACTTACAATTACAATAAATCTTTAAAGCCAAACAGAGTAGTTCATTAGCCTGCTCTTGGCCAATAGCTGCCAGGAAGAGACAGTTTGACCCACATATAAATGTGCATTGACAAAATAATAAATACTGATTATTTGGAAGGATGCACAATATATCGTATTGGTTATCGGCTGATATTAGAGATTTTAAAAAATCTGTATTGACTAATATTTCATATTTAATAGTTGGTAATTTCCCTTATTTTTACATTTAGATAAAATTTGCCATCATCTAACACTGACTTAAACTTAATCTAATAAATTAATAATTTGATAACACTGTAAAATGTAATCTTTAGTAAATCTCAAAATGAATATCTATTTTTCATACTGTACAATATAATATTTTTATGCATAAATAAGACAGAATAGTTTAGAATGTTAATATTGCGTTTATTGGTCAGCGGCCGTAACATCTCTCTCTTTCTCTCCAGATGAGAGACAGGCTCTTCATTCAATTATGAAGGATCTGGTGGCACTGCAGATGACCAGGCGCCAGTCGGCGTCAACTTATGACACGGCAAAACCTAAACCCGTCAGCACTGCCAGCTCTTCCAAAAGAATGGTAATACATATACATATAGGAGAACATACAGTTACCTTGTGACTCCTGTATGACCCTGTCGTGACATAGCTGCTGTTTCTTTCTCTTCAGGAGGATGTCAGGATTAAGTTTGAGTTCTGTGGTGAACGAAGGTGAATTTGAGTTTCTTTCTACTGGAACGTGCGTGTGTGTGTGTGTGTGTGTGTGTGTGTGTATGTTAAAGTAAAAGTAATGTTCAAAAGCACACATAAAACAACATGTAGAACGTGCATTTTGAGTTTGTGGCATTTACACACAGATACACACAGGCATCCTGTCTCTCAGCTCTCAGACTGGTATCACAGTGGAAAGAGAAAGGACTGTGGTTAGTCTGTAGCTGCCAGGACAGACCACAGCTATGCTAGGTGTGCTTGAAGGAATGTGTGCACTCTGCAGATCCAACTGTGTGATTGACTTGACTTACTGACTCAGATTACACATCTAAAGAAATATCAGCTTCCTGTTTAATGGTCCCCCCCTCTCTGCGTGCGTGGCGTGTGTCTATGTTTATATATGTTTGTGTAGGATTCTGATGTTTGGGCGGCCTGTGCAGTTTGAGGAAGTCCAGCAGAAAGTCAAAACATTCTTCGGTCAGCCGTTAGACCTGCATTATATGAATAATGAGGTATTGATTCACATTCAAATGCACTCACTGACACTCACTTATGTCTGATCGCTGCACTGTTATAAGAAATACTCAGAACTTTAAAATCTGTTTTAGTACTATTTTGCTGAACTCCTCATTTTGTATAAACTTAAAAGTGCACACAAAGGTTAACAACGATACATAAATTATAGTAAGCTAAATTTAACATTTTCTGGAAGCACTTTATTTTACAGTCCTGTTCCACATGTATATACTATGTGATTATTATTGTAATTACAATAGCTATGTAATAACTAGGTACTAACCTTGAACCTACCCCTAAGCCTAACCATAACCTTATATTACCCAGTACTTTCTTAGGTACTGTAAGTACAGGTAAGTGCACATACTGTAAAATAAAGTGCAACCCATTTTTAAGTTAAAAATATATAGTAATTACAAAAAATTAATTAGCAACATTTCAGTTATAATACTGATGTAAGGTGCACAAACTTTAAGTACACAAAACTTGCTTCACTTTAAGATGGACAATAATAAGCTAAATCTAACTTTTAATTTAACATAATTTAGTAATAAGTAAAATTTTAATAAGTTAATTCAAATGTACAAAATAAAAATAATAAATGCAACCATTCAGTAATAATATTGATGTGCATAAAACTTACTTCACTTTAAGATGAAGACATCACTCAATGCAGTTCAGTAAGGGGCCGTTCACACAGAGTGCATCTTTGCGTTAAAAAATGTAAGACGCAACGCTTAGGAATGGTTTTTGAAAAAACACAAGGCAAAATTAGACCGTCTTGAGATGCACTTTTGAGACGTGATATCACCGGATATATTCAGGGACAGAGACATTTCTCTCCAGGCTCTTTTTGTAAGAAACAGGTTGTGATAATCACTTGAAATGTTATACAATTCAGGGTATCCGAGCACAGCCACTGTGAGTGTAAAATGTTTATGTGACAGCTCTACTCAGTGCATTTGTTAAGTGTGTTTCGGTTTGTGCACACAGCTGTCCATTCCCCTGCGTGATCAGGATGACTTGGATAAAGCCATTGATCTGTTGGACCGCAGCTCAAACATGAAGAGCATCAAGATCATGCTGCTGACACAGGAACAAAGCAATGTGAGACTTACAGTTTAATATTACATGTCAATATGAACCAGTTCCATTTGGAATGTAGACTAAGAATGCAGAGCAAATTCTAATATCTCTGCTTTCTAGAAAGAGGTTTAAATGCTAACACTGTTGTATGTCAGCTATTGCACAGGAGCAGAGAGGTGTTGATTCATTATAATGTGTTGTTTCTACACATATAATGATTTCTAGATGCTTATGTAGATTTGTGTGTGTGTTTGCATATGCAGGCCTCTTCTCCATCTCATCACACATTGTGTAAGCAGGTTCGCATCAAAACCTCTCAGTCCACCGGTGATGTCAGTACTGCCTACCAATCCTCAGAAACAAGAGGACGCCACCACTCCACCAGTGAGTACACACACACACACACACACATATGCACACACTGCTGCACTTAACCAAAAACCCCTCTGCTTTTCTTATCAATCTCCTTGCCCTGGTCTTTTTCTCTCTCATACGCTTTCATTTTCTCTCTCTCTCTCCCTCTGTTGTTTCTCTGACTTCCTCTGTGAGCAGCGGGTCCTCTTCCTTTTCCTGTCCACCATCACTGGCTGCTCCACAATGGCTTGCTGGCTCCCAGCCAATCAGATTGCGAGTCACTATTAGCATGGTGGGCCAATGGCCTGTTGTAGAGATAGTGTTTATTTTAGGGGGGAGGGGCGGTTGCTACAGCTTGTAAGGGAGTCTGGAGAAAAGTGTGAGCTCTTTGAGCTCTGTGACTGGAAGAATAAACCGTTTGTTTATATTATGCTTCAGTCTCATGATTCAGCTGTTCTGCTTTTAGATTGTGCTCTTGTCACAGTGCAACACATTGCTTGGGACATTTTCTTGCTTTGTTTTGTATTGCAAATGGTGTGTTTTTCTTTGAGCTCATCATAATCTATAAAAATGCAGTTGGAATTGTGAAATTGATAAATTGAAAAATTTGTATAAAATCATAAATCCAGAAAGATCCAGAAACCATATTATTGTAAAAAAAAAAAAAATCTTTTTGAATTAAATTGATTAGACATGCTTTTTTAAATTTTGTTTGAAAACTAAATTAAACCATTAAAACATAATTTAGAAAATTTTTAAAAATAAAGAACAAAATAGAATTTAGGGACAAAATAAAACTAAATAAAAGTAAAGATTTCATAGGGACCTAAAAATGTAAATTTAATGACCATTAATGACTTAGCAGTGTAATTGTGTAAATGTGTGCAAATTTGTACCTGTACTGGTTTGTACAGTCCTGATTTGTACTGGTTTATTGCATGCTAACACTGCTTTAGAAAATATAATTGTGTATAAACTGTAAGGTGTCCATTTTCAGGGCAATTATTTTATTTTTTCTCTTTCACCGAGTCACTGTACTGACTGAAAGGAAACAAAAATACAACTGGACAAAATGGTGAAGTAAACATGATGTGAATGCAAATTGCATGCACTCTCAGTCTCACACCAGAGTGTGGTCAGTAGCAGAGATACATGTTTGCCACCATAAAAGTATTACCATAAAAAAATGTGTTCTTCCAAATGTTGAATTGTTAGTTGTAACATTTATGTCTATTGTCTTGTCCTTACGTAGGCTCTCAGAACACTGGCCGAAGTTCTCCGCCCCCTGGTTATGTTCCTGAGTGCCAACAGCGAATCGCACGTCAGGGATCGTACACTAGCATCAACAGCGAGGGGGAGTTCATACCTGAAACCAGCGACCAGTGTGTGAGTTTAAAGACATGTGCACAAATATGTCAGTGGGTACTTCAAAACTATAACAGATTTAGTGTTTCTGAATTTTTGATTCGTTGTATGTCAGAAGTATTTTAATATATCAGGTTACATTTATATACACTACAGAACAATGTCTGCTAAGGCTGCATTTATTTGATCAGAAACACAGTATATATACATAAAATAGTAATATTTAGAAATATTATAATTTAAAATAACTATTTTCTATTTTAATATATTTTAAAATGTAATTTATTCCTGTGATGGCACGATGAAATCATTCTAATTTCAATGTTGAAATCCAGTTGTGCTGCTCAACATTTTTTGCGGAAACATACTTTTTTCCAGTATTCTTTCAATGAATAGAAAGTTTAAAAGAACAGCATGTTTGAAATTAATTTTGAGCAACATTATATATGTCTTTACTATCACTTTTGACCAATTTAATGCATTCTTGCTGAATTAAAGTATTAATTTCATTCAAAAAATCTTTCTGACCCAAACTTTTGAACAGTAGTAGTGTTATACTTGACTATTCTATTCTATTCTATTCTGGAATAGAATAGAATATAGAATATACTTTAATATTCTATTCTATTCTGTTCTATTCATTATAAATACACGCCAGATATGCTGTGTCAGTGCTTTTAAGTGCTAGATATATTACTCTCCAAAGCAGAAATAAATGATCAAAATAATGTCAATTTGTAATTTGGCAACATGCTAACTTTTGCAATTACTGCACTTCCTTCAATTAATCTAAACATGTCTAGCTTGCATATTCTCGCAGCCAGATTGGAATTCACGCATATGCCACATTATATACCACTGCTAAAATGAAATAGTCACCTAATCACCTGCAGTGCCTCCTGAGTCCATTTAACTTCTAGTTCACCTGTATTTAAAGGTGCTGGATTCTTGGAGCAGTGCAGAAAACTCTGTGTCTGGCAGCTGTCAGTCATTGGACAGCAACTCTGACAGGTGAGGAGACTAATACAATATGAAATGTGTTTGAATGATACTGTAATTGTAATTTTTCATTTATTGGTGTCTCTTGTTTCGCAGTCCCTCACTCAGGAAACCTCGTACACACAGGGTTAAGAGTCACCCTGACAACCGACAGGACTGTGCAGGTGTGCCTTGATGAAGATACTTTTAGTTTTAAAATCAGCTTTTCCATTGGCCCAAATGTCCATACTCTCTCTACGTTCTCCTCTTTCAGACCGGGAAAACTATGTATATGATAAGATTGTAGGGAAGGGAGGGACGTACCCTCGCAGGTATCATGTGTCGCTGCATCATAAAGACCACAGTGAAGGTATGAAACACTCAAATTTAGTTAGGATGCTCACACATACACACTCCAGTTCCTCCCATGTCATAATTTATATGAATAATGCTGCTCCTCAGGTCGACGGACATTCCCACGGATCCGCCGTCCCCAGGGAAACTTGTTCACGTTGGTGCCATCGCGGCGTTCACTGAACGGCAGTGAGGAGAGTTTGGGGAGCTGGCAGCTGGTTGATACTCAAGCCAGACTCCGCCCACAGGACCGCCCAGTCCCTCATAAGTGTGAGTGTGAGATAGATCCTGATGTTGTAGATTATGGTTGTGTTTAGAGGCGTTTATAAATATTTTAAGAATGCTTTGATGTATTTAAAATGTTGGTATTTGTGTGAAATTGTCAATTCATATGTTTCATTCAGCCAGTCAGTATTGTATCTATGTGTTATGTTCATGCATGTAGCTCCTACAGCTCCAGTGACGTGGCGCAGGGGGAAGTTGCTGGGTCAGGGTGCTTTTGGAAGGGTTTATCTGTGCTATGATGTGGACACAGGCAGGGAACTTGCAGCAAAACAGGTTCATTTTGACCCTGCCAGTCCAGAGACCAGCAAGGTATTACACTTTGTTGTGTTTTGCTTTGCTTTGTTTTGTTTTGTTTTTTGTGTTGTTGTGTTTTGTTTTGTTGTATTGTATTGTGTTGTGTTGTGTTGTCTTTTGTGTTGTTGTGGTTTGTTGTTTTGTGTTGTTTTTGTTTTGTGTGTTTTGTGCTGTTTGTTGTGTTGTGTTTTGCTTTTTGTTGTTTTGTGTTTTGCTTTTTGTTGTTTTGTGTTTTGCTTTTTATTTTGTTTTTTTATTTTCTTTAGTTTTATTGTTTTCTTTTGTATTGTTTTTTTTCTTCTTTTTTTATTTTTGTATTTTGCGTGATTCTTTTCTTTCATTTTTTTTCTCTTTGAGTTTGCCAGCATGTTTTTTTTTCGTTCTTTCTTAAACTTTTCCCCCACTCTTTAAATCCTTTCCTGTCTGCCATTGCAAAAACATGCACTGTCGCTTCCTGTATCTGTGTGTGATTGTGCGTGCATCGGCCAGAGGGGGGTTTTGAGGCGAGGGGAAGTGGGGTAGTCTATCAATGCATTTCTCGTTGATCATGCCCTCGCTTGACACAAACACACACATACGCTTAAACACTCAAAAACAAAGCGCCTCTTAACCACTGTTTGGTATTAGTGTGTTGTGGTACATTTGATCTTCCACGTACATGCTCAGCCATCTCACTCAGACCCTGCTCTGGTCACAGCCAGCTGCCTCAGCTGTGGTCGTGTCATGACTCTTGCCCCCCTTTCTGCAGGAGGTGAGTGCTTTAGAGTGTGAGATACAGCTGTTGAAGAACCTGCATCACGAGCGAATTGTTCAGTACTACGGTTGCCTTAGAGACCATAATGAGAAGACCCTCACCATTTTCATGGAGTATATGCCTGGGGTGAGTTTGAGACAGCACTTAAAGAAATAGTTCACCAAAAATGAATATTCTGTCATCATTTACTAATCCTCATGTTGTTGCAAACAACATTCATTTTAACTAAATTTTTCTAAGAAATGTCCAAAAAGAATCTTACATGAATTTTTTCATAAAATGACAGTTCACAGTAACCATGGGTATATGACCATGTATTTGATTTAAAATACAGTAAAAACAGTAATATTACAAAATATTATAATCATTTAAAATAACTTTTTTATTTTAATATATTTACAATTTTTATTTAACCCTGCTTAATAAACTTTTGTAATATTATAAATGTTTTTTTTTCTGTCACTTTTGATCAATTTAATTCATTCTTGCTGAATAAAAGCTTTAATTTCTTTCAAAATCTTGACCACAAACTATATATATATATATATATATATACACAGAACAAAATTATAAACGCAACACTTTTGTTTTTGCCCCCATTTTTCATGAGCTGAACTCAAAGATCTAAGACTTTTTCTATGTACACAAAAGGCTCAAATATTCTCTCAAATATTGTTCACAAATCTGTCTAAAGCTGTGTTAGTGAGCACTTCACCTTTGCCGAGATAATCCATCCACCTCACAGGTGTGGCATATCAAGATGCTGATTAGACAGCATCCTTATTGCACAGGTGTGCCTTAGGCTGGCCACAATAAAAGGCCACTCTAAAATGTGCAGTTTTACTGTATTGGTGCTGGCCATGCAAGAACTGGGATGTTTTCAGCTTCCAGGAATTGTGTACAGATCCTTGCAACATGGGGCCGTGCATTATCATGCTGCAACATGAGGTGATAGTCGTGGATGAATGGCACAACAATGGGCCTCAGGATCTCGTCACGATATCTCTGTGCATTCAAAATGCCATCAATAAAATGTACCCGTGTTCAGTTTGAATGCTCCTGAGCTAAATTTCAACTGTCCCAGATAAGGGTATGAATACTTATGCAATGGAACCATTTAAGTTTTTTATTTTTAATAAATTTGCAAAGATGTTAAAAACCAGTTTTTTGCTTTATCATTGTGGTGTATGGAGTGTAGATTGATGTGGAAAAAAAGTAATTTAAAGCAGTTTAGCATAAGGCAGCAACTTAACAAAATGTGAAAAAAATGAAGGGGTATGAATATTTTCGCAAGGCACTGTATATATAAATGCACATACATACAGTATATATTTTGAAAATATTTACATGTATACATTTATATATTTATATTATATATAAATATATTTAATATATAAACAAATTTTTTTCTTAAATATATACTGGAAAGTTTGTAGTTTGGTCGGATGTGTCATAAACAAGTAAGTAAAACAATGCACAAGTTACTTAATGGTAGAGAGAGAGCGAGAGTGAGAGAGAAAGAGAGAGAGCGAGCGAGCGAGCGTGTAATTTTGTTGTGTGGTCTTTGATGTTCACTCACTTAGCACACGCATAATTTGGATTAAAACTAAATCTTAAAAATAAGACCATTTATAGGGGCATTCACTATAAACATCATTTATTTTCAATCTTAGGCATACACGACTTTCAGGCGAAAGTGAATCTAGCCTGTGTGAAATGCGCAAGGCTGTACTACTGTCCTCTCATTCTGCGCCAGTACAAATACGTGCACGCGTTGCGCGCGTTTTGCTTGCTTGAGTGTTTCTGCATTATATGAGTGGCTTTGGAATATAAATCGCAGCACGTTTCAGATGAAAAAAAACATGACTTCTATTTTTGAAAATATCACAGTTAGGAGATTTATAACGAGTGGCTCCCTGCATTTTTACAGCAAATCGCGTGATTACAGTACTGAGCCGCTGCAATGGAGCAGCTCTAAAGCTATTAAATTAAAGATGATGTAGGCTACCATAGAGAGAGAAAAAAATGAACCGTGAAAGTAACAAAAACTTGTAAAATACATTTAATGGCCATAATTAAGTGTGAAAATAACAGAAGGATATACAGACAAACCAAAAATGATTCAGCGACCAGATATAATTTTTTATATATTTTTTTGTGGGTGCAGGACACTATAGTTCATTTATGTAAGTGAGGACAGCAAAATAAAGTAAACTGTGATAAATTATACCCAAAAATTCTTCATACAGTGGACTACCAGTAAAACTGATAACAAATTTGAAACCAAAAATTATTCAGACCGAGTCTGGAAAAAAAAATGGAAGTTGAGGTTTTCATGAAGCTGGATGACAGCATGCCCAGAAGACTACAGGCTATCATTAAGGCTAAGGGTTGCCCGACTAAGTATTGATAGTTGTGTAAATACTGTCATACTAACAGCTGTCTGAATAATTTTTGGTTGATTGTAATCCATTACATACCTTTCTATCAAAGTTATATAACATTATCAAGCTGAATTTGTTCTGACACAGTTTAACTCTGAGTTCTTGTCATATTTTATTACCATTTTCTAAACTATAGCAAATAAACTGTGATAATGTGAGAAATGTTGAAGGTGTCTGAATACATTTTGGTTTGACTGGATCTATTTGATAAATGAAGTTAACCAACTAACATTATACATACTCTTTTGGTTTCTGTACCCAATATTTAAAAAATTTATAAATGCAATGAAAATATTGGTATCGGTACTCGGTATCGGCAAGAACCAAAAAGAAAAGTATCAGTATCGGGCGAGTACTGGAAAAAGTGGTATCGGTGCATCCCTAATGGCTAGGCCTGTCACAATAATCAATATATTGACTTATCGACATATATATATTATATATATATATATATATATATATATATATATATATATATATATATATATATTTCTGAGTTCATATGATGACACTTTGTAAACGGATGAAAAAGTCTCATTCAAAGATAATCTTTGCCTCCTCTGCAACTCTCAAATCAAATATGATTTCAGTTCATATCAATACAAACTGTTGTTGTATGAGAAATATCTATGGAATCTACTACTTTAGTGTTCCACAGAAAAAATAACAACATAAAGTGTTGGAATGACATGAGGGTGAATAATCAATGGCATAATTTTCATTTTGGTGCTCTAACACAGCTAATGCGTTCTATTATAAGTAAATTATTTTTATTTTAAGGGTTATAATGCGTCATCACACACCTGTTTGTTAGCAATACTGTGATTGTGATGTAGAGTGCAGTGTAACTCACTGGTGCTGTGGTCTTTGACCCTCAGGGTTCAGTCAAAGACCAGCTGAAGGCTTATGGGGCTTTGACAGAGAATGTGACACGCAAGTATACCAGACAAATTCTGGAGGGCATGTCCTACTTGCACAGCAACATGATCGTCCACAGGGACATCAAAGGTACCGTCTGGCATTAGACCTCACATAGTCAAATACTGTGTGTGTGTTTTTTTGTCACCTATTTGAAATGCAATTAAAATAAACAAAAGTTTATTATATCAAAGTTAAATTTGTAGTGTAGCTATTTGAATAAAACGTTGTCATGTTTTAATAATTTTGGATCAACTGTTATAGCTTGTAAATCTTCTTTGTCATGTAACAAGAGGAAAACTGGATCAAAGATCTTTCGGTCCATTGCATGCTAACAGCTCTCCTTGGTCACTTCCTCCGGTGCGTTCAGGTGCCAACATCCTGCGAGATTCAGCCGGCAATGTGAAGCTGGGAGATTTTGGTGCCAGTAAGAGGCTTCAGACCATCTGCATGTCCAGCACTGGGGTCCGTTCTGTTACTGGAACGCCGTACTGGATGAGCCCAGAGGTCATCAGCGGAGAGGGGTACGGCCGGAAGGCAGACGTTTGGTGAGAACAATTTTTTGTATATGAATAAAAAAACACATCACACAAGAAGTGCACACATCTTTATGAGGTTTAGAAAAAAATGCTTTGGAACAGCATTTTCCATCTTCGTTTTCCATCATGGGAACCTAAAAACCTTTAAAATATTTTCAAAATCTCATCGTAGTAGAGGGAAGAATGCAGCTGGGATTTGTGGAATGGTACGATGCTCTCAATAATTTATCACCATTAAGATCCAGTCTAAGAGTCACGTTTTACGGTAAACTGTATTTTTAAGCAGACATGATTGTGATCAATGTTGCAGAGTCTAAAAAAGCAACATACTCTTAATATTAAGAACCTATTTTTAACAAAGAAAGATTTATAAACAAATGTTGAAGTAGGAGAAAAAGAATTAGGTTATTTTATGTCCTTGAGAAGTGCACAGATTCTCAGTCGGTGGGAGTGGCTTAGTTACTGCTCAGGGATTCCCCCACATAAACTGATTGGGCAGTCTCCGGTCAGGTCAGGAGAGCATTATGATTGGCTGAAAATCAGCTCACAAGAGTTGTCTATTAGATCGGATAGTCTATTGGCATATAACACTGGGAAAAAAAAATTTTAATCAGGATTTTGAGCTTATTTTGCAATTAAAAACGTCTGTAAGTGTCTATAAAACAAGATAAATTTACAAAACATATTAAGAATATTATAACAATTTAAACAAAAATCCTATTAAAAAATCGATACCTTTACTGAAACTTTAAAACAGTACTAGAAAACATGTGGAATGTTAAAGAAATATAATGTAACCTAATGGGTCCTTTTTCTTAAACTGTGTTGTGTGAACAGGAGTCTAGGCTGCACTGTGGTGGAGATGTTGACAGAAAAGCCCCCGTGGGCTGAATTTGAGGCTATGGCAGCCATATTTAAGATTGCCACTCAGCCCACCAACCCCCAGCTGCCCTCTCACATCTCCGAGCACACGCGGGACTTCCTCCGCTGCATCTTCGTGGAGGCCAAATACCGGCCGAGTGCAGAAGAGTTGCTCAGACATCCCTTCTCCCAGATCTTGTGCTGAGGTTTCCCTCTAGCTGCTTCCACGGGTTAAAAACCCTATTTTTTCTTGTTAAAGAGTGATAAGCTCAGTTTCAAAGGCAATCTGCATTTCCACAGCATGTGACCTGCCAGCACCCAATCAGGGTTGTCGCCAGGATTAGGTAAAAAAAACTGGTTTATTCTCTAATGGCTTGAAATGTGATGTCTTTGGGACAGCAGGGGGCGCTACAGGACTTTCGTGATGCACATGCTCTTCATTACAGAAATAAACAGATTGATGGTGTCCCAGGATTAGCAGACGCAACAGACATGATACTGTTTGAGCCACTGAGCTGCTTCTTACAACAACTGCCAAATGTGCCTTCTAAAGCCGACAGGGTCAATCTCACTGACCCCTGAATGAGTTTTTCAGACATCAAGAAAGTGTCCTAGTAATGAATGTTTCATACAGTCCACAGCAGAGTTATGAAGTCAGTGTTTTTATGTGCCATTTCCCCTTCCACACGGAATCCCGTGTGCGCCCATTGTCTCTATGACTCCAGGCACTTAGTGTTAAAGGAAACGTAATAATTGTGTCCCGGTTTGTTCCTGCCTCAGATGAATGAGGGTCATACGCACGTCTCGAATGGTTTGCATTCGTGATTAATCGTATATATATATCGATTAATCTTCATCGAATTGCACTTCCTTGATTTATAGTTTATAAGAACTTTTTTAGTCTGTTACAGAAAGCAGCTTATTCTCGTTTTTTGACTGAGGTCAGATGCCGAGGGTCAGGGCATGAGGTTATAGTGGTTGAAGTTTAATACGTAATTTTGTACCGCAGTAGTGCCTTATAGCAGTGGTTCCCAACCCTGGTCCTGGAGGCACCCCAACACTGCACATTTTGCATGTCTCCTTTCTCTGACACACCAATTTCAGGTCTTGGAGTCTCTACTAATGAGCTGATGATCTGAATCAGGTGTGTTTGATTAAGGAGACATGAAAAACATGCAGTGTTGGGGTGCCTCCAGGACCAGGGTTGGGAACCACTGCCTTATAGTGTCCTGTAGAGAGCAGCAGTGCAGTACTTAAGATGCAGCTAATCTTTAGTATTCCTACAGTGAGGATGAGATGTTAAATTGGGAATCTCAAAAGGGGTGTGTTGTGTGTGGTGAGATAATGAGAGCACATTAGGTTGTATATTAGTTTTCTCTCCAGCCCTGCCAAAGAAAATGTATTTAGAAAGTGTTGTGCCTTAAGTGTCTTATGGCAGTATATTGGACTCATTTGGATCAGATGCACTTTTGAATATGAATGTTGAATATACCAAATTGTTCATTTGTTACACAGAATGTGAAGCTTTTTTCACTTTTATTTATGTCCCAATGGTCAGCCATTTTTATATATGAGTATAAATATATATATATATATGTATGTGTATAAATCTATTTTTATATAGTGACTCCGAACCGAGTTATGCTTTTAGGAACAGAAGATGAGTTAGAAACAAGAATTGTAACAGCAGCTGGTTTTGCAGAGACTACAGCATGATTTTACATGTGTTTATTACTGGCTGGAAATTGAGCTCTGGCGATTTATGTCTTCTGTACTCGTGTTTTTAAGTGTTTTTTGTGTGTCTGTTTCTGTCTGCTTGTTCACCTGAGGATATCGTAGACATTGCAGACAGGATTTTGATGCAGGTTGTCACAGGAAGTGACCAGTGCCTTGAATCATTCTCAGAGATGCATGTACACACAGATATTCACATTTGCTGCCACTTATGAAGGACTTGATATTTGCCTTATGTATTCAGAGTTGCAGTGTTGAAAGGAAAAATAAGATGTGGAAAAGAAAGATTTTGTTTTTATGTTAAGAAAATGAAAATGGTATTAAAGTTAATGTACACTACCATTCACAGTTTGGGGTCAGTAATATTTTTTGTGAGAGAAATAATATGTGACCCTGGAGCACAAAACCAGTCTTAAGTCGCTGGGGTATATTTGTAGCAATAGCCAAAAATACATTGTATGGGTCAAAATTACAGATTTTTCTTTTATGCCAAAAATCATTAGGATATTAAGTAAAGATCATGTTCCATGAAGATATTTAGTAAATTTCCTACTGTACATAAATTAAAACGTAATATTTGATTAGTAATATGCATTGCTAAGAACTTCATTTGGACAGCTTTAAAGACGATTTTCTCAATATTTAGATTTTTTTGCACCCTCAGATTCCAGATTTTCTTATAGTTGTATCTCGCACAAATATTGTTCTATCCTGACAAACCATACATCAATGGAAAGCTTATTTATTCAGCTTCCATATGAGGTATAAATCTCAATTTCAAAAAATTGACCCTTATGACTGGTTTTGTGCTCCAGGGTCACATATGTTTATTTAGCAAGGACGCATTAATTTGATCAAAAGTGACAGTAAAGATTATGTATAATGTTACAAAAGATTTCTACTTTCTCAATTTGTTTTTACTTTCTATTCATCAAAGAATCTTGTATCAATGTTTCCACAAAAGTGTTGAGCAACACAACTGTTTTCAACATAAAAATGTTTTTGATCATACGAGCAAATCAGCATATAAAAGAATGATTTCAGAAGAATCGTGTGACACTAAAACGAAGTAAATACATTTTTGCCATTATAGTAATTAAAAGCAAAAAACAGTGCTTTTTTAATGTGGTAATACATTTTCATAACATTACTGTTCTTGGTATATTTTTGATCAAATGCAGCCTTGGTGAGCACAAGAGTCTTTTTTTAAAATCTTACTGACCCCAAACTTCTGAATGTTTGGGTAATTCTGAACTATTCGGAATGCAAGAAGTGTTATTATACTGAGAGCAAGTACGTGAGACTAGACATGTTTATGAGGAACTCAGAAAAGTGTGTGAAAAGGCACGATGCTTTCTTTGGAAATGTATCATGGGGTATTGCTCAAGTGAAAAGGTAGGTGGATGCCAGGGGCGAGTTTCCACTCAGCTTGACGACTTTGTTTAGCTCAGGGTTTGAGTGACAGGTGTCTGTCATACGGGCACACCAACACTGACCGCAGGACCACTTGTCCTTCTTTTCTATTGTTTTGATAGTATTTTGGCCTCCTCAAAAACAGTTGAATGGCTCAAATATGATCTCAAATAGCTGCTAGTTTTTGTTTCGGCAGCTAAGAATCAGTATTGTACCAAAGATTGAGAAATGTCTCAGAGAAATGTCAGAGTAAGTCTAGTTGAGAACCCTGGGATAAGCAAAAGAATACGAGCCAATAGGTTAGATACACAATATATAATTATGTTTATGTATCTTGACATGAGACTTGCAGTGCAAAGTCCAGTGTATCAAATATTTTCAAATAAAACAATATGCACAAAACCACGTATTTAATGTAAAGTGTGCTTGTTTTTAATCTTGAATATATGGTATAGCTTTTAGTGTCCTCTAATACCTGTTTTATGTGTTTGTTGATGATTCTTGCTAACAGTGTGTTTCTCACCATCTGTCTTTGTCTGTTTGGAGTCAGTCTAAGCCAGTCACAGTACTAACACAGCTTTTCTCTGTGAATACACACCATTGTGGCATCAAGGAAAGGATCGACTGAATTTATAGCACTTCCTCCCCCTCTTCTCTCTGTGCAGTGAAATATAGTGCAAAGCGAAACATTATGTTCAGGCAGGAATAAAGAAATGACTTATGTGAAGTCTAAGATGTACATTACTGCACTGCATTTTTTCCGGCATTTACTGCAAGCATTCGGCTGTCAGCGTTCCCCAGGTCTGTTCACCATCATGAAAGTAAAAGTGTTTTTCCGGTGTATGTTGTTAGACCAGTTGTGACCGAGAAGGAATGCATTTCTTTCGACTTAATGTATTTGTCGTGCAGTAGTGCTGCAGGCAAAAACACCAAATGTGTGAATTAGAATGACAGGTTTGTTCTTTGTATTTCTTCATCAGTTTTTTCGTTAATATTAACCAGATTAACAATTTTATTTTTATCACAAAATACCATAGATATTACATGCATAATATTTGAAATGTACAATTTAGCAGGTTAATTGTCATTTTTAATTGCATTTTTTTTTTTTTAATTTTATTTGTCCTTTCAGTAGCTTAGTTTTAATAGAGTTCAGTAGTCACTGTATAAAATGGAAGCTAGTGTTACCTAGTTTAAGTTTAGTTTTCCAGTATATGTAGTTTTAGTTTTAGTTTTAGTATTTTAGGGCTGCCAAAGTTAATACATAATACTGATAACATTTAAACCATTTTCAGGGCTCGATATCTGAAATCTACCAACATTTTCATGTGTAATGAGGGCATGCTATAAACATATACAATACAAAAACAAACTATTTATTTATATATGTGACCCTGGAGCACAAAACCAGTCTTAAGTCGCTGGGGTATATTTGTAGCAATAGCCAAAAATACATTGTATGGGTCAAAATTATAGATTTTTTTATGCCAAAAATCATTAGGATATTAAGTAAAGATCATGTTCCATTAAGATATTTTGTAAATTTCCTACTGTAAATATATCAAAACTTTATTGATTAGTAATATGCATTGCTAAGAACTTCATTTGGACAACTTTAAAGGCAATTTTCTCAATATTTAGATTTTTTTTGCACCCTCAGATTCCAGATTTTCAAATAGTTGTATCTCGACCAAATATCGTCCTATCCTAACAAACCATACATCAATGGAAAGCTTATTTATTCAGCTTTCAGATGATGTATAAATCTCAATTTCGAAAAATGTAACCCTTATGACTGGTTTTGTGATCCAGGGTCACAATTAAGTTAGTTATTTTATTTTAAGTCGTTTATTTTGTATTTGATTTTTTGTTTCCGTTATTTTGGGGTCATGCATTTTATTATAGAATTTGTCTTTCGTTTTTTTCCAAAAACATTTTTATTTAATGAAAATGTTGTCATTTATTTTTTGTGTTAAGTTTTAAAGGAATAGTTCACCCCAAAAAGGAAAATTCTGAAATTGTCATCAAAACACAAATGAAGATAATTTGAAGAAGAACCAACCAGTTGTCCCCAATGACTTCCATAGCAGGGAAAGAAATACTATGGAAGTCAATGGGGGCCATCAACTGTTTGACTTCCAGCATTCTTTAAAATATCTTATGTTCAACATAAGAAAGAACCTTACAGGTTTGAAACGACATGAGGGTGAGTAAATGATTCGTTTTTGGGTGAACTATCCCTTTAATTTCATTTTGGTTAAGAACTCTTGGGCTCAAAGCATTTGCACAACAGCATTTGAAGCACAACAAATGTCTCTTGTCAGCTTAGCAGAGCACCTGGCTGGATTTTTTTGGCAACATTTGCTTGTGTCCTGGACTTGCTAGTTGTTGTGTTAGCTATGATTGCCACATCATTTAAATTTGTATTCCTCAGATTCTATTACACACAGTAAGATTCACAACCAGCGTAAACACTCACAAACGGAGTTTGGCAGATTAGTGCAGTCTCAGAGTCTGCTTGTGGCTTTGTCTTGGCTGATGATCAGTCGGTGGAAACAGCATTAGGATTCTGCTGTTCGCTCCTGCCTCATTACGCTGGAGACATGAATCAGCTGTTTGACTCCTCTCAAACCTGAGAGAGCGAAACAGAGCGTGCCAATAAACAGAAGAGACTGACTAACTCAAAAAATGAGGAAGATTTCAAGAGAGAACACCTGGAAATCTCTATGGAAAAGCTTCTCATACACTAACATACTTTCCTCTTTGAACTTTTCACCTCTCTTGAATGTTTGGTCTCAGACAGACATTCCCCAGTTACCGGGGCTGAGGCAACCACAGTCACCGCTGCAGATATTTATTAGCGGATCGTAATGACGGCCCTCCATGTTAGTCCTGACACTAAA